TGTAATATATTAAATAATAAGGATTAAGTTAGGTCTTAATATGAACTAAATAGAATGAATTTTAATTGAGGAGATTCTATTGAATAAAATAAATTCAAGACTTTTTTATTCAAGAATTTATTTAGAAAGATTTTATACTCAAGACCCAAATTGGTCCATCCGGCTCGAAGGACCAAAATATTAAGAATGGTATACATAATTAATATTCCTTATCCTGTACTTTAAAAAAAAACCAACTTACTTTAGACCTCTTAGTAATTAGTAATTATTAAGCTTTATCTAAAGCTTATATACCCAGATGTCCGCCCAAGTAATAAGTACTTGGTGAAGAAAAGAAACCGAAGCCAAGATCATGCTCGACGCATTGAGGAGTGCACTCAGCACGGGTACTGGGATAAGTATGATGATGAGCGTGTTGTCGATATACCAAGATAAAGCCATCGACTTGTTGTTCCCCTTGTTGTTGTAAATGGGTTTTTTGTTTTTGTTTTCGCTGCAGTATGTTCGCTTAAGTTCATGCACAGAAAATTACAAAGAACCAAAGGAGGTCTGTGCGTCCTGGCTTCCTTGCTGCTATCTGTATTATGCTCTCGCCCCATTATTGTTTCGCCAGCTCACTCCCCCGGATCCGGCAGCTGCCTCATCTACACAATTGTTGCATTAAATAAATGTTTTTTGTGCTGGGCTCCGCTTTACGTGCTCACATACGCGTACACGAAGAAAAAAGACATTGTTTTAAGGAGAAAGACATTAATTGATAGCCGTTGGTTAGTGGGAAATAATGCTTTAAAAAGGAATATGTGGTATTTTAATCTGATTAAGTTATGTTGTATTTATTCTAGTTAGATTTTTCTACATAAAAAGGGCTATATTTTTCTCAGTGCACATAAGAAAGCATTCCATTCCAGCAGAAAGGCGGGAGAAGCCTTCCAGGCACAGACGTTGATAGATTTCCCTGCATGGCCGACACTCCTGGGCGAAGGAAGCGGAAATGGCTGAGGGGAGGGGTGGCATGGCGGCGGAAATTTAGAAAGCTCACCCACCCGCACACACTCGCTGATGGCGATGTTTGCGGTGTGTGCAGTGCGTTTTAATGAGTTTTTTGTTCTGCCGTAATTATTTTTGCAGTCTGTTGTACTAGCACATGCACAAATATCCTCGAAGGACCGACCAGCAATCAGGTCCTGAGCCATTTTAATGAAAAAATGCTAAATGCAGGAAATGCAACATATTCTCTCTGGGTTTCTCTAGATTTCATTTGGGTTACATACTAATGTCCCAAGAAATGAGATGCGAAAAGGGAAATAAATTCTTGCATTTATTTTTCTTTGATTCATAATCCATCAAAACGTAGTATAAGAACACTTTAACAATTAATTTTTGTAGCTATTCACCATGCGAATGCACAGAATTTCTCGTTTTAATAACACATGTTTTCATTCAATAATCCCCTGGCTCGCTTGAATAACTCGAGGAATCTCTTCGTCTTAAATGAAACAATTTAATGCATTACAAATTCCTTGGGAAATATCTTTGAAAAGGGCTTTTCATGACATAGCAATCAGCAAATTGGAAGCGAAAATGCAAAATGCAAATGCCCAGCGATTATGCCTGAAAGTTTGGCATTAATCGCCTCCACATGTTCGACTGTGGCATTATGTTGTTGCCATTCCATATTTACATTTGTAAAATTGGAGCGCCACAAACAAATCCTCAGCGTCCCCGCCCGCCTGTCAGTCGACCGACTTGGCCCCATTATTATTATTATTATCGGTGGAGCAGCCAACTGGCAGACTGTCCAACCACCTGACATCCCTGCCATTGTTTACATTAATTTGATTTAAAATGCAACGCCTGCGAATCAAGCTCCTGCTGCAGTCCCTTGCTAAGCTGCCAACTGTAAACAATTTGTGATTTGCGAAATTCTGGGCCATGACGTCAGTTGGGTTAATTAAAATGTTATTAAAGGGGCGGCTTTTCACGAGAAATTGCTATTTCCATGACAGCATCGCGTTGCGTATACGCCATATATGACGGCATAAAAAGCTACAAGATCTGTGAATGCAACGCAGCAGAAAGTTTTATGAATTTATACAGCCTTATTATCCGACAATGTATATTTATGATAAACAAAAAGAGGGGTCTTATTAGATTTTTAAATTTTGGTATTAATTATAAAATTGTTATAGACATAATAACATACAACATGAGTTTAATCATATATCCCAAAAAATAATCCAAAGCTGGTCTATAAAACTACGCCATGAACTTTAAATATTTGCTAGGATTTCGTAAAATTTTCCCCTCGTTTGTAGTTTTAGAAATTTATAAATCCCACTACTTATTCGCCATTTTCTGCATAAATAGCAGCAAAGATTAAATACCATAAAGGGCTGTGTGTATGATCAGGTAATAAAGAGCAACACTAAGTCTTAATACCTATTATAAAATGTTGTTTGTTATGCTTATTATATTTCGTTTGCGTAAATATTTTGACCGCCATGGGTAAACATATGCGCACACAATGAATATGAATCCGTGTGTGTACTCAACGTGGTTTTTCTGTGCAGCATTTAATTCGCTTATTGTGGGAGAATTATTGCCCCGGTATTGACTCAGCGAAAAGTACTTTCGCTCTTTTTTAACAGTTTGCTATGAAATATAAACTAACATACTTAATGTACGGTTTTAAAGGTCGACGGGTCGGACATGTGTATAGTGTTTTAATTGCAGCGTTTACACGCAATTTCTTATTACTCATTTAATTCGATCAATTTGCTTGTGCAGCATTTTGTTTTATTTACACACACATACACACACCCATCTGAGATCCGGTGAGGTCAGGGAAGGCTATTTTTATGCTGTTGTTGCTGCTGCAGTGGCGTTAAATTTTGTTTTCAATTTTCAACACTTTTAATAGCCAATTAATTAAACGGGCAAACAGCAACAAACGACTATCTACACAAATATGAGCGGGCAGAGAGGAAAAAGAATATCAGGAAAATACGTGGAGGGTTTTAAATTATATTTTTTAAATTTGTAAATACATTTTTAACAATTCATTGAATTACTTTCTTTCAGTTTCCTAAATTCAAAAAGAACAATTATTCTTTAATTTAAAATGAATTTTTTTCCAATAATATATATTTTAATCTCTTCCTCTTTTTTCTTGTATAAATAAAATTTAAGTTTATTTTAAGTTTCAGTGTAGTCATGCATAAATATATACAAGAACATAACTTTGTCCGGCGTATGTGTTCGTACCATATATGTATATATTGAAAGAATTTCCCCGTCGGCTTTTCCACATGAACCAAACATTTTTATAATTGCTGGCCGAGCTTTTATTATTCCGCCGCCAGCTGCTCGCTTCTCAGACTACTACCATGTACACCTGCCACCTCCCACCACCCTCCAGCTGGCGACTAGTTTTGAGGCAAGTAACTTTTCGCTATCGCGGCATGCATAAATCATCGACCTACTTGACCCTTATAATTTATGCTGGCTAAAACAATTGCTAAATAATGATTTTTTAAACAAAAGCTAGCCAGTCAGCTGGCCAGCCGGGAAAATTGTAAATTATGAATGCGAATGGCGAGAGTCAATTAAGAAAATTACTATTTATGAGGCTAACATGACAAACATTCGGGGGGTCTGGGACCCCAGGAGATTAGTGGTAATTTGCAGTTTATCCTTGGCCCCAGTACCGCTCTTGTCAAAGTTTTGTATTTATATCTACGCATGAATAATTTAGGCGTCAAGAAGGCCCCCAATGTCCGGACCGAACTTGGTTTCTGGTTAATGGGTGAGCAAGAGTCTCGTCCTCGCCCTCGCCCTCGGGATGTTTCCTTACAAACACTTTCCACTGGAACTTTCTGTGTTTTAGGTGTCGGTTATAACAAGTTATTAGCATGTGCCAAACGCCACACAATTTCATCTGTGCTTAATTTAAAATTTTAATGAGTAAGGCAGAGAAGTGTAAGAAAACTCAAGGCATTCATAGTACAAATTAGTTATTAGGATTCTTGAATTCCCCTATTTTATACAAGTTTAAATTTAAAGCTGGACCAATCGATGGCACGCTTAAAATAACTTCAACCCGAAAATGTAATTAAATTATAGGGAAAGACAACAAGTGGCACATATAACAGCCCGAGGGTTGACAGCAAGTTAGCCACACGAAAAGACTGCGGTCAACCCAAAACCTATACGCACGTAAATGTATTTATAGAACGAGTACACGGACCCAGACAACGGGCATTGTGCTTGCCACACGGGGCGTATGAGCAATGAACTACTTCAAAAGGATGTCAAGCGGTCATCAATTCGACAATGGCCGTGCACACATTTATTTTCTGATTCCAACCCAAACCCAAGGTTTAACCTTTTTAAAATGACTTTTGGGCGTTACCAGGGGCAACAATTAAAAACGAAATCTCATATATATGTATATATATACAAAAGCTAACCCCAAATGGTGCCAGGAAATGGGCCTGGGGCGACCCACTGATGTGGCAACATTTGTCAGGACGGCGTCCAGTCCCGAAAAAGGTAGCCTTGGCAACGCACAGAACTCAACTTTCACTTGATTAACAGGGGAAAAAAAGGTGAAGGCAAAATCTTAAAGGGAAATTGGCGGCAGGTGTGACAGGTGACAATTTAATAACAACTCGCAGCCGCCAACTGACTCAATGACGATTCGCATTCATATTGAGTCTGGCGAGGCAACAGCTGGGCCAACAATCAATCAAAAAGTTGCCGAAAAGTATATAATTGAATGCTTTTGTTACTTTTCTGCGAGGGAAACTTCAAATGATTCGATTTAAATAAGCCAAGCAAGGAGTAAGCGAATAAGGGGCACTTTCATTATTTGGGATAATAAAATGAGTAATTTTATATTAAACCTCAGAAGACTAATTATTATTTATACCTGACCACTTAAGAGATTTTAAAGTTACATTTCTAAGCCTTTAAAAATATATATAAAAAATTGTACTCACACAATGAGAACAGCTCCCGTTCCTCCTCCGGCTCTGCATTTAGTTCAGCTTGCACTTCCGGTTCGATCTCCGACTCCTGTTGGCCGTCGGGCATGGGCTGTCACTATGTACTCGCCGAGTCGCCGAGCGGCGAGGCTATGTTGCTATTGCTGTTGCTGTCCGAAGCGGAGAGGGGCCGACAGATGCCGAGGCGCGTGGGACCCGGCGGCATGGACTTCAGAATGGCCACCGCCTCGTCCAGCTCCAGGCCCTGCAGCAGGCGATCGCCAACGCTCATTAGACGGTCGCCCGGATATATCTCGTTGGTTGCCTCGGCAGCACCACCGCGTATCAGGCCGCGAATCACGATCACACTGCCCTCGGAGTCTAGGGGATCCTGGTAGTCCAGAATGGAGAAGCCGAAGCCGTGCTCTGTCTTCTCAATATCCACGGCGGTCACTTCACAGCTCCACAGGGCGAGGCCGGACACGTTCTCCAGCGACTTGGAGCGCACTGCTCCAGCTCCATTTCCTCCCGAACCGCCGGCTCCTCCGCCTGCATCCGTCAATGTCGCCGTGCTGGACGTGTAGAGCGAGCTCTCCGACTGGGCCTTGCTCAGCAGATTCTGGAGACTCTGGTGACCACCGGGCAGGAGGCTGCGCGTCTCAAAGGCCTCCGGGTTTTGCGAGGTATTTATCACCGACGGAACGCGAGTGCCCCGGGCACACACCAACTTAACGCGGGCCGGCAGCTCCTTGAGGATCTTAACCACATCGATGTGGCGCAGTCCCTGGAGCTTGTGCTCGTTCACCTGCAGGAGCTCATCGCCCGGCCGCAGGATGCCCTGGCGGCCTACTGGCCCGTCGGCGAGTATCGAGCGTATATAGTGATGCGGACGCTTCTCAATGCCGCACTCCACGTCCACGGTGCCTTCGAGGCTGATCCCTAGACCTGAAAGTTTATTTATTTCGGCAACTAAAATTTCACTGTCGGGAAACTCACTTTTCCAGGCCACGCGCAGGGAGGCGGCGGTCGGGCTGGCCACCTTCGCAGGCGCCTCATTCGTGGGCGTGGGCATCTGGCCGGGATCGGGATCGAGATCGGGATCTGTGTCGGGATCTTCTGGTTCCTTAACCTTGCTCGACTCAGCTCTGGACACCTTTCTGGCTCTTGCCGCTCCCTTTCCCGTCTCCGTCTGCGCCTCCGTTTCCGTTTCCGGCTCTGGACACTGCTCATCGGTGTCGTTGCCACTGTCATCGGCCAGGTTCGGACTCCTGCCATTGGTTAGCGGCGCCACTGGACTGGTCGTGGCCAGCTTTGTCACGCCGCCACTGTGATCGCTGCGGTCCAGCACGTGCGACATGTTCGACTCCACGGTGTCCCGCGAGGGGAGCTCCACGAACTCCTCGCCTGCTCCCGAAACGCCCACATCCTCCGGCTCGGCCTCGTCGCCTTCGGTGGCTATGGAATCGGCATCCAGCGACTTGGGTGGCAGCCAGCTGAGCGTGGCTATCGAGGGTGACCCAGGCATCGAGAGCTGTGATTCTTGGTCCTGGTCCTTCTCCTGGTTCCTATCCAAGCCGGATGGTCCGGCACTGCCCTTGATCTCCGTGAGGGCCACTTGCAGGTGCTCGAATTTCCTGCCCCGCAGAAACCGCTCCAATGTGAGGTGAACCTCGATGTCTGTGTTCCGCAGCAGCTCCACCGCCTGATGGTTGGTCACCCCGGACAGGGACCTTCCGTCCACTGCCACGATGCGGTCGTTGATCTGAATCTGACCGCTCGTTTCCGCCGCACTGCCCTCGATGATGCTCTTAACGAATATGCCGGAGAGATCCTCCTCCTCGCAAACGTAACCCGCTACGGTTATGCCCAGGCCATAGACGTTCTTGTGCAGCTCCACCACGTAGGTTTCCGTTTCCGGAGAATCCATGTAAGAGTCGGGGGAGCCGGAACCGGAGCCCGATCCCGAACCCGAAGCGGAGCCGCAACCGCCATCTTCGTTGGCCAACAGCTTGCGTTTGCTGCCGGCTATCACAGTCTCTATGTGCTGGTGCTGATCCTGAACGGACCGCCATTGGGTCTCCAGGGGCAGCAGCTGCAGGGCGGGGCGTGGCGGCGGCGATAGTATCGAGAAGGGCACTATATCCAGATCCAGGCGCGGACACGGTCGCTGCCCAGCATTGGATTCCGCGCCGTTAGGATTGCCGCCAGGAATCGGTGGCAGTGGGAAGTCGGCCAGGTCGCCGAGCTCCGTGAGCTGCAGCTGCGCCGCTGGCGCTTCCACGGCGGACATCTCGGAGCCCTCGACGGGACCGCCGCGCACCAGGCCCACCAAACTGGCCACGTCCATGCCGCCGACACAGACGCCGCCTCCGCCGCTGCCACCACCACCGCTGGATGCTGCTGCTGCAGCGGCCGCTGCTGCTGCTGCTGCCGCGGCAGCGGCGGTGGCAAAGCTCGGATTCTGGAAGAGATGACGCGACAGTTCTTCCGGGTCGGAGAGGAGCTTAGTTGGTATAATCGGCGCCTGACAGGCCAGCGTTTGGTAATCGATGGCCGTCGGCTCCACCGGCCGCGCCACTATCAGACGCACCTGAGCTCCGGTCTGACGAAGAACTGTGGCCACCTGCTCCGAGCTGAAGCCCCGCAGATTGACCTCGCCGATCTGCAGCAGGTGATCGCCTAGCTGCAGCCGTCCATCTCGCTCGGCCACGCCCCCCGGCGTCAGGGCCTTGATCACCACCCCGGTGCTGCGCCCGCCCACAAGGATAAAGCCGAGGCCATTGCCGTCGTTGATCAGATCGATAACCTCCACCTGCGACCATTCGGTGCTTAGAACCATCTTTCCCAGCTGCTGCTGTTCCTGATGCCTGCTCCCTTTCTTGTAGTTTTACCAGATATCGTCGACGCTCGTCGTTGTGTTGTGTCGATTGCTTGTGTCGCGGCCCCTGCTAACATGTCGCAATGTCCGAATTTGTGCGGTGGTGCTGTCGGCAATTGGGTTTTGTATTTATTTTCGCTGCTGCTTCTGCTCCGCCGTCAAGTGTGACATTGATGAATATTATGATTGCCGCCGCTACCGATTTGCTTGGTATTATTGCTATCGCATCGAGAGTCATTCAACCGACAATTATGGCCCGGCAACTGCGCTCCTGGCACCGACAGCGCCAGCCGCATCATCCACGACCGCAACAGCACAGCGCACCTGTAATTATGCAGCACACGCACGCCCATCAGTATGAAGGTGGGGATGTGGGTTGAATGGGGACTACGCGGCGTATACGCAATGCATGGCGGGGGCTGAGTAACGTATACGCAATGCGAGGGCGTTTACGCAATGCGGGGACAGGACTGGGACAATGAGGTGGTGCAGGAGTAGGCGTGACACGGGCGTGAAGCGGGAATTTAAATTGCTGCCCCGCCAGGCATAACATTCGCCTTTCCCAGCGAATACCCTAAGTCAGGGCACATGATTCGCATATAACTGCTAAGGTATTAATTGAAAGGTGGCTTTAATAATTCCATTTACTGTTAAATATGGTTCAAGACAAGGTACAAAAAGCTGTCAAAATAGGGGGAGTCGCAGAAATATCTAGAGAGTTTTCCCATGGTTTTAAATAAATTTCTGAGAGGTTTATGATAAATGAACAAACACATTTTGAAAGAGTATTCATCAAAGATTGAATATAAATAGTAAATAATACAAAAAAATAGAACCAAAGAATAGAACAAAAGAATAGAACCATATTGTGTTAAATAATATATATTTAGTTCAATGGCAACTTATAAATGCATACGATACGTATTAAGAAATAATAAAAAATAGGATCGAAACCATATTATGTTAAATAATATATATATCAAGCTGGATGGAAACTTATAAATTTATATTTATATTTTAATCCAGTTCACCTCTTTTTTATTTAGAAAATCCTATACATGACCCATCTGGTTAGTGAGCGCTATGTTGTTGGCATTAATTTTTGATCAGGACTGGCTAGGGTATGCGTTACTCGACATTGGTGTTCGTTTAACGTTCTGTGTGTGTGGCTGGTATTCCCCCTTTTTCTTTTTGCCTCTTTCTGCCTTTTTAATGGCACCTTTTTTGCACGATTTTGTAATTTACATGCACACACACGCACATGGGCAACGGGAAGTTTTTACCTTGCCGCTCACGTGCCACGCATGTTTGGCACCAGTCTCCTACCCCCACCTAGCTCCCTATCCCGGCAGCTCTAATTGGAAAATGCCATGCCACGTAGGAGGCTCGGAGGACGAAGGCCGGGCTGCGACTACTTAGTGCTGCATACTCGACGGCGCCTTCTTGGCAGCCAAGAAACAATCTGCAATCGAGCGATAAGTTTCGAGCAGCCGCCGCAACTGCTACCAATCACTGACAAGCCATATGGCTAATAATGGGGGAAAATATAGGGGGAATGGGAGGCGAATGTGGGAGGCGAACTTCCTCTGTGTCGTTCCCAGTTCCTTCTTCCCTCTCGAAGCCAAGTCTGGTTGGACACAGCTAATACAGCTAATTGTGCAGAGGGCATCACAAACTTTGATTTTATATAACCTCTCATCAAAAAAATTTGCAATGAATGGAGTCTGGGAAGGCCAATTAGGTTTATATATAAATGGGTGAAATCAAGGCATTTCCAGCGAGTGTATTGAAGCTCTTTAAAAAGTTAACTAATGCCTAGTCTTTGGTACCTTACCTCTCTTTATAAGAAAATCATAATTTAAAGATTTTATATAAATCTGTTAAACTTGAACCTTGACCTTAGCAATGCAAGAACTCGTCTTTAGTAAAAAATATGTATGTCCTTTCTTTAAGCGCATTTGAATTATCAACTTTTACCTGAACTCATTAATCAAAAGTTGGAGGCTTATGCCCTCCTTCTGGGAAACTGGAACTGAGAACTCAAAAAAGCCCATTAATGACCTCCTTGTGCAGCAGCAGGACGCAAAAACCGTAACCGAAACCAAATCCTGTTCAGTGGGTTGTCGTTTTAATTGTTGTGTGCTTGTGAAGTGCCCGTTCCCGTGCCCCTTGCTGGGCCATACGATTTTTCGGCCCATTGTACGGACGTATCTGGCAGTGACTGCATCTGTCAATTAAACGCTGATTGACTTTGCATTCGCCGGACACGGTCTGGCACACGATGCGTATGATTAACGCTGCTTGTGCCGGTTCCTGCTTTTCGTGTTGTCCCCCAGCAATGATCCCGCCCATCGCCGGCCGCAACTTTCCAGTCTATGCCACGACTCTGGATATTTTGTTTACGGACAAGCTACCACTTTGACAGGGAGCAGAGAAAGAAAATGATATACAATAAATAATTCGATTTTATAAAATAATAAACAATCTATTTGGTAAGCTTATGGTTTTTTTTGTTAGATGAATATAAAATTCCAAATATATTTATTAAAAGAGGTAAATAACTTTCTTTTGAATTTATGTAAAACCTTGACTTTGAATTAAGCAAAGATTATACAATACAAAATAAATTAGGAAATCAAAAGTCAACATAGAACCCAGAACCAGACTTGTGTTCTATTTGTTTTTCTCTGTGTCGGTAAGTGTGCTTCATTTACTTGGTTGCGGTCCGACGGGAGTGCTGAAAAATGTTGTGTGGAGCGGATGATGAAAGGGGAGGAGGACCACAAGCAGGAGCAGTTGACGTCCCAGGCCCATTACCCAGAAAAGTAGGCCAAGCGCGTTTGAAGTTGCCAGTGCGTTTATGTGTGTGTGTGTGTGTGTGTGTGTGTGTGTTGGCTGCTATTTTTGTACGCCTCAAGTAGAGTCAGCGGTTCGTTTTCCATCTCTCTCTTTCCCTAACTCCCTCTCTTTCTCTCCATCGCACTGGGACTCCAGCGTCTCCTACACTGCGCCTATTTCCATCTCTCTCTCCCTGGGCTTGTGCCAGTTTTCAGTTTCGTTTCAGCACGCCGTTGGCCACTGTTGCTTCTAACGCACTTCAAACTGCCGCGGCGCTGACCTACTGAGCATTATTAGCCGGCTCACGGCTCAGGACTCACAACTCGAGTTTTGGCCCAAGCGCCGACGTCAGTCAAGCGTCGAAAATCGATAAGCGGCAAAAAGTAAGCGCCCACGAAGAAAGGTTAAGAGAAAGACGCCAAAAGCGAAGTTCTACATACCCTTTGAGGGACGCTTTAATCCTTTTACTTACTCGATATTTATGTAACAGCAAGTCCTATAGAAAAAATCATAGGTACCTTTAGTTTGTTCTATATTCTCGATGTCAACAAATAAATATTTATATTAAAAACCTATTAGCTTGTTAAATAATAAAGAACAAGGTTTTCATATTTTTTATTAAACAATATATTTGTTGTGGTTTAAGTAAATAACAGATTTGTGTTTCAAACTAATAAATTACGATTCTACTAAAGTGAAAAAAATATATAAATAAATTTTAAATTTTATCGAATTTCCTTTTCACTGAACACAAGAGCGCTAACCGCATACATGATTTAAATGGCATTTTTTGTAAACAAAATTTAAACGTACCATAAATATGCATTTTTTATTTAAATAAGCCATTTCAAGGCCCACAAGTCAAGATATATCAATCAATTACTGTAATAACAGTATTTCAATGTATTAATATTTTGATTTTTTTAGATTCATTAGCTTCATAGTTCCCCATTGTGCAGGGTATGCCTCGTCTTTACGGATGGCTTTCTTTTGAACTCAGGCCAAGTCAAGACTTCCTGCTGCCGTCGGAGCTCTTGGTCTTGGTCTAGCCGCATTGACTGAGCTCTGAGCTGTGAGCTCCGGGCCTCGAGGTTGTAGGTTCGAGGTTTCTGGTTGTAGGTTGGTGGCTGTGGCTGCGGCTGTTTGCTGGTGTCGTGTGGCTGCGCCTTTTGACCCACCTAGCCGCCATCGCCACCGACACCGCCCGGCGCCCGACGGCGCCCCACAAGCTCTTAGCCAAATTGCTGCAGCCAAAACAGGGCGAGAGCAACAGAGAGGGTAAACGAGAGAGAGAGAGAGAGAAAGATAAAGAGGGAAACGGAAACGAAATAACTTGTAAACTTGCGGCACGCAATTTGCAATTACTTAGCAAAAGGACATTAACGCATGCAAAGGACAAACGAAATAAAAAAGTAAGGAGCGACACCCCCCAATAATATCTCCTATTGATTTAACAACAATATGGGGGCAAAGAATTCAGACTTTACGCCAGATTGCGTATACGCCGCATGCTTGCTTTTGGTTTTTAAAACGGAGCGCAGATTGCGTATACGCCGCGTATTTCAGATGCGTTCACAAGACAGCATCTAGGCAACTGGTCAAGACTGCGTATACGCCCAGTGTTCTCACAGCTGGCCAACTTGGAGCATTAGGCAGCATAATTACCCGCACTGGCTGGCCAGTCGATGGGCCAGCAAACGATTTCCGCTGCGATTCCGTGGCACTTCATTCACGCACTCCACAAACACAAGCACATGGCACGCACCGCACTCGTTTGTTTGCTCTGCCAATTTTCCCGTTGCGGCCACAATTTTCTTACACACACACTTTTAGCGATTTACGCGCGCATTTTCCGGCTCAGCAACACGCCCGCACGCCACGAAGCTTCTTGGCCAAATGAATTGCCCGCTGGCCAACACCAGCCGCTACTACTCGCAGAGAGAAGCAGTGGCAATGCAAAGGGGAGTCGAGAGGCTCCACCGGAGGATAGCGACTGACTCTCCACGCCCATGCGCATTCGCCGGACACATGACTCCGGAATGCAATGGAGAACGCTCGTCGCTCGCAATATTTACCATTTGAAGCTGCCAGGCGGTCTTTCATTCAACTGTCAGATTGTGGGAGAGACGCTGAGAGCGCAAGCTCCACAGCACATAGACGGTGGTTAAAGAGCTTTCAAAGGGGGTTCCTAAAGTGTTCCATTTGATTTAAAGTATGTTTCATATGGACTAGTGCAGTGCTTTTATTATTAATGACATAAAATTAGCATTTTAACACTAGCAATTTTCAAAATTATCGCTATCCAGATTCAGATCAGTTTCATTCGGCTTATAACTATAATTATTTCATTATTAATGATGATAATACAATTTGAAATACTGCGTACATTGATGGTTAAAGAATGTAAAGGTGTGTGCTCGACTGTAAGATACCCGGTGATTAGGAAAAGCTACCAATATTTTTATATCAATACTGTGCCGATAAAGCGATATTCTGTTTGATATATTCGACCAATATAATCCGCTGAAAATATTAATTCTGTATAATAATACATATCAATAAATAACTAGTTATTTGAATGATCAATATCTGTGTTTTCCATATTTTAAATTCGAATATATGATGAACATCCTAAAATTTTTCATTAACCTGTTTAAACTATTTAAAATGAAGTTGTACTTTCGTGATCAAAACTCTAATTATGGAATTGCCAATTACATTTTGATAAGTATACCTGAAAAGAAGAAGAGGTTTATTGATGTAATTATATACAATTAAATTAGAGGTGCTATTTTTCACGCTATATATACTCCCTGATCAGGCACTGGTTCACCCACTCGGTGAGGATAAACCAAAATGGACCGCAATCATTCAGGGAAAGGAAGACTTCTGATCCTCATTTGCTATTTTAGCTATTCATTGCAAGTCCGATACGAATTCGTTATGGAGGATGAAAAGGTATTTTCGGACTGCGAACCTATGCCGCCAGGATCTCGGAATGCAAGCGGACTCTTCGACTTCTCCCAATCGACTTTCACTATGGATGAGAATGGAATATATATTGAGGGAAATGTGACCTCCGTGTGGAATGTACACCCTAGAGATGTTGTTAAGGTAATTACAAATAACTAAGAGAGGCAAATATAATTTACACGATCCACGATCCATTTTAGGCGGAGTTATCTCTTTCATACTTTGACCGTGGGTCTTGGGTGCCGACCATACTGAATTTGGCTCCTAAGGACTTATGCAAGGTGCTCTACGACAAAAAGCAATACTGGTATATTTACTGGTTTAGCCACGTCACAAATGCAGAGGATGTGAAGGATAAATGCCTTTATTACGGAGTATGTACTATTATTCTTTGTACTTTAAAGTTTATTTTATTATTATTTATTCTTTACAGACAACATTTATTTTTGAACCATTTTATTTCAACATATTCCTTGGCCTTGATATGCCTCTGAGAGGTGGGCGTTATCTGATTAACATTGGGCTAACTGCCCACGATCCAAATGGTATCAAGCGCGAAGACACGATTTGCATGGGAATGCGCGGTGATTTGAATAAGATTCTATAATCTCGGCAGTAATGTTCTCTTTCAATTAAAAATCCTGGCTAATGCTTTCAAATGCTGACCCCAGAAATGCCGGCATTTGCTGCTCAGGCAACCAACAAACCGCCTGCGCCTGCTCCGTTGTCCACGGCAACCGATGGCAACGATAAATAAATTCCCAGGTGTTTGGTGCGCCTGGCGCTGGCTGCTGGGGGTGGGTTGTGGGCTATGGGTGTCATGCGGCAAGCGGCAGGTGGTGTCCTGTCCGCTCACCTGGGCTCCAGTGACCGAACAGTCGTCGGTTGGCAGCGCCACCGCAAGGCAGCCGTAGGAATCAAAGTAACAAAAAGCGTGGAATGCGCCAAGTTTTCCCGAGCAGGAGGAGGAGGAGTAGGAGGTGCACCTGCCCCAACGCTGTGGGATGGGGGTCAGGTGTCAATCAAGGCGGCACATCAATCCAGTCGGAAATCGAACCCAGCAAACCATTAAAACGTAGCCAAAACTCGAGGCAAGCGTCAAAATTCAAAGTTTCACCACTGGCGTTTTCGGGGCAGTTCTAGATAAAAACTACAGCAAGACACACACGTATATTCCAGTCCCCAAAAAAGTTCTAAACTGATTTTTTCCACAAGCATCAAACTACACCTCAAAAATAAATATAACGCCAACCTTCTTGAGCCGCGGAAAAAGCGCAACAACATATACGATTACGATAACAGAATGTCGGCAGCCGGAGAGAACGAGAACTCTGATGAGGAGTACTATGTAGACGAGTCCTTCGAGGAGGACTCGCAGTCCGAGGTTGAGGAGCAGGAGGAGGAGGTAGAAGACGAGCAAGTGGATGAGGAGGAGCTTGAGGTGGATGAACAGGAAGCAAACACCGTTCTGCTGGAGGAGAGCGACACGCAGAGCGAGAGCGATGTGGAGGCCGAGTTCCTGCGTGGCAACGTAAGTCCACCTCGCCAGGAGCTGACCATATCGCAGTTCAGCTTTAACACACCTTCCGCGCCGCACCCACAGCCGCACGCCCGTCGCCAGCAAATGGTGACCGGCCGTTCGACCGGAGGCTTCAACCGTGATCGTATGATGACCTACCCGAGCTCTTCGGACGATGAGGAGAGCCAGGTGGTCATCACCAAGACGGTGGCCGAGGTAAATCAACTCAGTCTGTGCTTAGACACGGCCCAGGACGATGAGATGCCATCGGTGCGCACTCTAATGCCTGGCAGTGCCCATGCACAGACTGCTGATGATGATGACGACGACGATGTCGAGGAGGTCTACGAGCTAGAAGAGGTTGAGGAATACGAAGAGGAGGAGGAGCTAGAGGAGGACGATGACGGAGCCCAAAGTGATGGCACCATGGCATCGAACCATGGTCGGCAGGAGGCCGACGAGGAGAGCGACGAGGATGAAGCCACTGATGTGGAAGTGGAACAGCTCGAGGAGGATGAGCCAGTTGTCCCTGTTGCGAAGGAGAAACCTCCGCTGCCGCAGGAGGATCTCGTTTCGCTGGTGGATGCCAGTGACAATAGCAGCGAGTATAGTGTTACCACCATTGGCATGGCTGGTGCAGAAACAGACGTTACCCTGGCGGATGCTTCTCCAAGGTTCCAAAAGCAGGTGAGTCTGGAAATCGAAATAAGAGTGTTGTAGTTACAAAAGACCTAACCTTTTTTTTACTTTGTAGCAACCTGACGCCAGCACAGAGCCTGTTACAGTGATGGAATCCAAGATTGAGAAAGAGGAGCACGAGAAGCTTCCCGTTGCGGAGCCGCTAATGCAACTGAATAACTTCCTGGACAGTAGCGAAACCGACGATGTCCAAGAGCCGGATGAGGCCACCGTAAGGTATCTGGAGAAGCAGATGACGCAAATGTCAGAGATGATCATGAAGACATTCCGGATCAATGGCGGAGCCACTAATAGTCAGGCCTTTGAACAGCTGGCCAGGGCCACGGAGTTAATGCAGCAGCATAGCCGTAGACGCGAGGACAGCGAGTCGGAGGTTACATCGATAACGGAATCTGCACTGACCAGTGCTCGTACCTGTGGCGGCGAAAAATCCCCCATGAGAATGCGCTATCAGCGCTCTCAGGAGTCAATAATCACACGATCGTCCAAAATACCCAGGCCCAAGTGCAGATGCCCCTCGGAATCTGAGCTTCGGGAGCAGGAGCAGGAAATGGGCCAAAGCTTAGGCGTAGATGAGGAACTACTGGATCCTGGCATGCAACTCGGTATGGGAATGGAGCAGGGCTTTCTCATGGACGAGTGTGGGCAGGGGGATGGTCTGATGCGGCATCCACCTCAGGGAAGACCGCCGGCGTTTAATAGGCGCGCGACTAGTAGCACTCCGAGCAGCTTCAATAGTGACGGAGGCCAGTATCCCATGAACGTGTCGCGTTCCCGCTGCTCCAACGAGAAGTTCAAGTGAGTATTTCCCTATTCCTACTCAGATATCTTAATCTAGCTTCAATATATTCCTCTGTGACAGTTACAAGAACTTGGGCCGAAAGAGCTTTACCTTCACCAATGTCCAGGTGCGAGAGATCGAGCGTCAGAACCAGATCCTTCTCCGAAAGATGATGACTGTGAAGCCCACGGCCACCATCAAGGCAAGCACCAGCTCCCTGAAGATAGGCTCAAACGCACCCGAGGTGAGTTCTACCAAAGGAAATGGTCCTCGCAGAATTAATTATTTATATCCCGTCGGCAGCGTCAACCACCGCCGGCGCCGCGACTCACCAGCGCAGCTGTGAACCGAAAGAAGTACCAGCGACAGATCGATCTGGACAACGACGTGCTCAAGCGGAAGCTGGAGGCCATTGGCACCCGGCGCTCGCAGTTCAAGTGACGTCTCCAACTGTGTTCATTGTATGTTTTAGAAGTGTTTAATGGGAATTTACAAAATTAAAATTTATTGCAAGTTAAGAAATGTGAAGAAAACTCTGTATAAACTTAATATAATTAATGGGCGTCTAGAAATCTTAAGAAAGTTGTAAAATATTAAGACTTAAGACAAAAATTGTTCTTAATCCAGGAGTGAGAAATATAATAATCTTTTACATAAATACCTAAGATTAAAGTTAAACTGTAAACTGTAAAATTGCAAAACTATTTATAAATGGAAGGGGTTAAATCCAACAAAGATGAGCAAACCATAAAATTCGAAAAACTGTATAAAGAAATTTAAAAATTAGTCTTAAGCTTACAGAGTCACCTCGTTGATCTTGGTTAAAAAGGTTTCGCCCAAGGCCTTGACTGCCTTGAAGGCAGCATCACCATTCTGCTCTTTGAACTCCTCCTCATTCTGAAGCTTCACTTTCTCGCGCTTCTCCAAATCCCGATAGATGACCTGACCAATCTGAAAGGGAATAGTAATCTAATTAATTTGTTTCACAAATAAAAAAAAGGTTTTCTACTCACATAAACATCGATGGCGGCGTACATCAGCTGGTTCTCGTCCAGCGGAATGACATGCCACTTGCTCATCCTAACTTTCTTGCTCTTGTCCATGGCCTTCTTGGCTATGAAATTGGCCAAACGCTCCAGGCTCCAGCGTCCGCCCGTCTCGCAGATCTCATTGCACCACACGCCCAAATCCACGCATTTCTCGATCAACGGTTCAGCGGACACCTCGGGAAAGTCGCGGGCCAATTTACGGAAATCCCTAAAAGTAAAGAGGTTTTATAGATTTACCAAAAAACAATATTTTCAATGAATATACTAACGCTTTTATGTTGACACCGTGCAAGCGAACCTTGGGATGATTGATGAGGGCCACCAGGGCCGCGGGCAGCTTCTTCAGGTTGCTCAACTGGTAAACGTAGCAGCATTTTTCATCCACACATATCTGGATGACGGAGGACTTGCCGGGTCCGGTTTGAAAGGAGAAGGGCCACTCCATGTCAAAGGCCATGGGAACCACATCCTCCTTTTGCTTCTCTACCCATTGCCTAAGGATTCATAGAGGCCTTTAATAGTTATTAAAGTTCTTCTAAAAATTATTTAATCCCTTTCTATAGACTTACATTACATCGTCCGCAGAGGCGGCTATATCCTGGTTTTCCGTGTAGTACTTGATGGCTCCCTTGTACTTGATAAATGGCAACTTTACGGGTTCTTCCTTCTCCGGTGATGCAGGCCCGTCCTCCGCCATGGAACGGGTGCTCCTGGTGGTCCTGGAGCTCCGCCGCTTGGGTGGATTTTCGATCTCTGCCGTTTTCTTCTCCTCCTTCTAATTATCCATACCAAATTACTGTCTAAGTTTTAGAGAAAGAAGAAAGTGCTTGTGACTTACCAATTCTGGAGTATCGAGATTCTTTCGCTTGACCGCCGCCGGCCTCCCCCTCTTGCTCTGCTTCGGAGTAGTATTTTCTTCGGCGTTTTCCTTGTCCTTCAACTGGGCGGATTTAGGGGTTTCCTTCTTGGCTTCTTTGAGCGACGTTTTGGGCGTTCCCTTTTTAACGGCCGCTTTCGTCTACAAAATCAAATGAAATATTATTTAACCATTTAAAGCAAGACTTAATTCACTTACCTGCTCGGGCATTTCATTGGCCTTTGTTTTAATTGGCATTTTAATTAAGTATTTGTCCATCAGACGAGTTCTTTGTATGTTTTTCTTCGTTGTTTTGTTTATTTATGATTCCCGCCAAAAACATTAGGTGGCTGTATTGCGGAAATACCAAATTTAGCTATTGAACATATAGTGATTCAATGTTAGCTATTTTCCCGCTAGCTCTTATGTAGCTAAAAAAGGGCCGCACTGGTCGCACTATTTCGATGAAATTAGCCTTTAAAAACCTTAATGAATTCTTTACAAGCTATTTTAAAAGGCTTTCCGGAGCCTTTTCATAGAAACTTTAGTTTTCCTGCCCGCCGGCGGAGCGCTGAAAAATTGCTTACGTACAGTCTGGCTATTTCAGTGTGACCAAATGCCGTGCAGGGGAATATCCGCTTATATTCCAACGAATTTCTAACACTGCCGGCAAACACATTTATTAAACAATTTTAATTTAACTTGTTTATGTTTTATATTCCACAATCGCATAACACCGCATAATTATGTCCTCGGCTGTGGTATCCACACACTATATATCCGAGAAGGTGGCCCGCGTGCGCTGGCTGCCGGAAGCCCTGCAGCAGAGCGAGCGGTTCGTGACCGGCAGTTGGGACATGGACAAGAATTTCGTCCGGCTCTGGAAACTACAGTCGAACCAGCATGTCAGCGCCACGGGTGGTGATGATGTGGAACAGATACCCCGCTGCATGGACAAGGTGGCGATGGAGGATGATGTGACCGCCGTGGAGTTTGTGGACAACAACACGCTGGCTGTGAGCTGTGCTGATGGTGAGTTTTGGGGATTGTCTACCCTCTGAGTAGGTCTCTAAAAGTATCATTATGTCCAAACACAGGTCATCTCAGTTTAATGAACGTGCAGCGAGCGGTGGAGGAGGATCAGGTGCAGCGCGTTGCTCGAAGCGGCCAACTGCACTGCTTCCAGCGCAGCCAGGAGCCAGCTCCTTGCACCGACATTGCCATCTACGGCACGGATATTGCTACCACCGGCGAGGATGGATGCGTAAACATCGTCTCCGCCGAAAATATCCGTCTGGTGAAGCGCACCATAGAGGCGGACAGCATGGCATTGTTCTCGCTGTGTTACGTTAGCCAGCAGGAGCTGGTTGCTGCCAACCGCATGGGAGTAGTACGTATGTTGGACGCCCGTCTAGCCACAGAGGCGCAACCCAACATCGGCCTCATGCTGCCCTGCCGAGATGACAAGTCCTCGAACTTTGTCTCATCGATCACCACACATCCCAGCCAACAACACATACTGCTGTGCGGCAGCGAGGAGGGTACAATAACGGTGTGGGATCTGCGCAACCTGGAATACCCAGCATCCTATATTAGTGCCCACGACAGTCCCGTCAATGAGATTGGCTTCCATCGCCAGGACACCACCAAGCTATTCACCGCTTCCGAAACGGGAGAGGTGTGGATGTGGTCTGAGAACCGGGCCTACGGAGGCGATGCCAACTGGAAGGATGGGAACAGCCCCTGGTTGAGCGGCGACCGGGTTCGTGCGCTGATCAATGTGGAGGGCGTCATCACCGGCACTCGCAAGGCTATGAATTCCTTTGATGTCCATGGCAGTCGTTTGGTCTGCGGTGGAGACACTGAAGCCGTTTACATAGTCGATAATATCGCCTGAATGGAATACGTTTTGTAAATTATTTTCGTACAATATATTAGAACTGGCCGTTAGTTATATGTGTGCACTTTTGATTTGTTTTTAGTCGTACATTCTTTTTTTAGCCATTCTGGAATAAAGGTTGATGGTAAGTAAATGCGGTTGGAATAGAGGAAGATATTGGACATTATTTAAATATTTTTCAAGGAGTTAATTCTAGTGTAACTACCAGGGGTTCCAAAGAACTCGCACTGCATTTTAAGATTAAATAAACTTTGGAACTCAGATATTCGTATATCCTTGCATTCAAATCCACAGAGATCTCTATTGCATCACTTGAGAAATACCATATAATGACACAACTTTGGAACAATTGTTTTTGTGTACATCCTAACTCTCTACAAAAACATTCGATATCAAAAAAGGTTTTTTGCATTTTTTAAAGGATAAATGTCCCGAAATACTCTCGCGGCGTTTTATTTAATTTATTTTCCGATTTTGTATCAAAATTGGAAGTCAAAACGCCGATTTTTGACTACAAAATAAAGTTCATTTGTTAAAGAAAAAATATAATAATTAAAAAAGCCGGACGTGAGTACCTATAGAATTAGTTATGTTCCAAATTTCGAACCGATTGGTTTAGTAGATTTTGAGTTATCGTATACAATTTTTAAAATTGCATTGGGAGAGCGCATTAAACTTTGTTATTTTCATACATAAAACACCAAACTACCTTCGTCCCTTACCCCTTACCTTACTCCCCCAATCCCCTTAGCACAATTTAGACATTCTTTAAAATGTTATATTTGATTTTATTTCGGTATACGCAAAATTGGCTTAAATCAAAGCACCTGTCTTACATTTAGGCCTACAAACTATAATTAATTATATTTCATTATGTGTTTTATGTATGTTTTGGGTGCTGCTGTGTGGTTGGTCGTCTCAAGACTCGAACTCCTTTCTGTCCGTACTTAAATCCTATTTCGTTGGCTAATTTGGAATAGATTTATGCGTGTTTTTTCAACTACATTATTATACCATGAATACACTAACTTGGACTAAATATTATTATTATTCTAGCGACATGTAATAAATACATTATTTATATTTACAGTGTTGCCCTAAGGCCTACATTTGTTTGCTTCTCCACGATCCAGCTGAAATTTCAATTTGAGCATTTTTATCTGCATTTGGGACCTAGGAAAACGTTGTCGGGGTCTCCGCAGAAGTAGTTATTGCTTGGAAATCTATTAGAAAATGTCTAGAATGCGATACCAGAAAACATTTTATAAGTTACATTAACTTTTGGACACTTTTTTAATAGAATTCAAAACCATACAAATTTCTATGACACTCCTGTATAAGTATAAATTTAAGCATTTTAGAGGAACCCAAATATTTGTTTTATCAATGTGTAATATATCCATGGGATTATCTTGTTGGAATATCAGAATATATTTTAACTTGCATGTTTTTCTTAATTTTTCTTCAGTTTTCAGATTCAGTTAAGCCCTACTATGTTTAATTACCTCAGAGCTAGTACCTGGTAGATACTACCTATATATTAAATCATTATTCATTCTCTTGTGGATCCCTCAGATTCAAGGCCCCCTACTAGTAGAATCGCTCGAACTTGGGCGGCTTATTGAGTGCGCAGAAATAATACCCTGAATAGTTTTGTGTGGCTCCGGGTGGAGTGTAATCGCCGATGCTGTAATTCCCGTAGTCATAGTTGCCCATGTGGGCGGGGTGGTGGTGATGATGCTGGTGGTGCACATGATGGGGGTGGGGGTGGGCGTGCGGATGTGTGTGCGGGGGGTGGTAATGCTGGAAACCGCCTGCACTGCGTGGCTTTTGTCATGTAAGGAGGCTGTTGCCCCCACCACCAACTCCGCCACTGCCAGCAGCTCCTGCTCCAGCTCCAGTTCCACCATTGCTTCCACTACTGCCATTGTTGTTATTATTGCCATGGACGCGCATGTGCCGATTCAGATTTCCCGATTGCGAGAATCTATGGTGGATGGAAAGCAATTAATTAAAGTACAATTTTCATTGGTAGTTGAAATATTCTATTCATTTTTGTGGGCAAACTAAAGCTTACTAATTTAATTAATTTATATATATTTATTTATTTATATGTAATTTAATTATATCTTTATTTAAATTTAAAAATGTATCTTGTTTTTTATATTGCCTTCTAAAATTTATTTTTGAACTGTCTACATTTGCTGTTACTTTATTATATTATTTATTTGAAGGGATTCTAAAATATTTTTCGATGTTATTTCTATTCTAGAATATTTAATTTATGTTCAGAACATTTAGGAATATTTAAAGAAGCTACTTTAAGCCGACTTAAAAATGTATTTATGACTTTATGCATCCCTTCACTGGAATGACAATTATATTGTCTTAGTACTGCCCATTGTTCTAACAAATAATTGAGTTGGAAAAGCTCGTCTTAACGGAGCCTTCTTTCTCCGAAGGACTTACCTGAGCAGGCAGAGCTTGCACTGGTAGGGCTTCTCGCCACTGTGGATGCGCAGGTGCTTGGTGAGAGTGCTGCTGTCCGAGAAGGACTTCTTGCAGGAGGAGCAGCGGTACGGACGCTCGCCGGAGTGGGTCCGCATGTGCGTGGTGACGCTGGAGCTCTGCGAGAAGCGCCGGTCGCAGATGGGGCAGCGGAACGGCTTCTGGCCGGTGTGTGTGCGTACGTGGGCCGTCAGATTGGCGGCCTGCGAGAAGCTCTTGTTGCAGTCGGGGCAGCGGTACGGCCGCTCGCCGGAGTGCGTCCGCAGGTGCGTCTTGAGCGTGCTGGGACGGGCGTAGGTCTTGCCGCAGAGCCGGCACAGGTTCGGCTTCATCTCCCCCCCACTGCTGCCTTCGTCTTCGGGATCTTCGTTGCTGTCCTCCTCATCTTCGAAAGCGGACAGACTCAGGCCGAGAGCGGCTGCCTGGTAGCTGGTGGGACTCTTGTGGGGCGGCGTGTATCCCTGGTTGGCCACTCCTGTTGGGTAGTATCCACCCAGGGCAGAACTGGCTGGCGGCGAAGGTGACTCCTTCTCGCCCACGGTGAGCGGAGCCAGGGAGCCCAGGCCCGACGGAGCTGGTGCCCGGAAATCCGCCGTAAAGGAGTATGTGGCGGAGGTGGGATAGTGGCCCGGACTTAGGAGTGGCGGGTAAAGAACGTTCACAGCTGCTGCAGCCGCCGTAGAGGAGTTGCTGGGCGGTGTCCAGTTCATCTGGGAGCACTGCATCGGCACCCCGTTGCCATCGGCTGCTCCGTAACCGTGATGCATCGTCATGTTCATGCTGACGTTAACACTCATGCTGGGATACATGGCCGCCGTCGGGGGCGGAGGAGGCGGAGCACTCCCAGCGGTCTCGTAGTAGCAGGCTGCCGCATTGCCTCCTCCGCTGGAACCTCCGTTGCTGCCGCCGTTGTTACCGCTGCCGCCTTGGAGGAGAGAGTTGCCACCATGCGATGCCTGGGCTTGGGATTGCTGCTGGAGCTGCTGGTGCTGCGAGTGCATCTGGCCGTGATTGTGGGAGTTGGGCGATATGAGCATCTGGTGGGGATGCACCGTGTACGAGAGCGAAGCCTGATGCGGATTTCCGGCGGCGAAGTTATAGGAGGCGCCACACGGCGAGAAGGGAAATAGGCTGGGCAGCGGATCGATGTCCAGTGGCGGCAGGCCGGGAAACGTGGAGGCCATCTCGTCGGTGCTCCAGTAGCTGGGATTGCCCGATGAGCCTCCGCCGTTGTTGGTACTCCCGTTGCCGCTGCTCGCCGGCGGTGTGGTGTTGATCTGGATGTGGCCGCCTCCGATACCCACGCCCACTTCCACTCCAACGCCCACTCCAATTGTGGGATCGAAGCAGCCGCCGCAGTCGAAATCGCTGCTGGTGAGCGAGGAGATAGGCAAAGCGGTGTTGCCCTGGCAGGATAAGCAGCCGACGCAGGAAGCGGCGCACTCTTGCTGCACAACCGGAAACGGAAAAGGAAGACCAACGGGATTCAGTTAAATTGACAATGAAATGAAAAACATCCTTTTAAAGTAAATATTAAACTTTATGTGGAATCCACAATTATTCTTCTAATTAAACTTATTTTTCTGTGCTATATGACTTGTTCCAAACATTTACGACACGATATCTTTGTTTTAACCGGAGAATTAACGGAAACCTAATGAGCAAAATTATTTTACAGAAAAGAAACCAACTTTATATAAAAGATTATGAATATCAATACAACAAATCTTTAAAAAACAAAAGGAAAAACAAAGGTTTTAGATCAGATGTCGAAGGGATAGCTTCTAAGATCTGGTTAAAAATTAAGTAATTTAATTTTCATAGTCCGGAAAATACCGATAAATGATTTTTTAACTCTGTGCAACTAGCACAACCGAACGCGACACTTTTTCCGGAGAGATTGAACGCCTTTTAACAGGGATACCAGGACTCACCTGGGGGCTGTCCAGCGCCAAGCCGAACAGGGGATTGTTGGGCACATAGCCCGTCTCTGGTTCCACAGGACCGCCGTTTGAGACATCGCACGATATGTACATAGCTCCACCCTCTTGGTCTTCCAGGGAATCTGCGCAGCCAAAAAGAACAGCAACAAAAAACAACGTTTTAGCCACAAACAGAGCAGAGATGCTCATCAGCTCGTATCCCACGGATACATTTCGCATGCGGATACAACCACTGTGCGCTTAGCTCCGCCCCTCGATACACACAGAGAGACCGCCATTTGCTTTGCTCTCTCGAGTCGCAGCGATTTTGTATCTGTGTTGCTGCATCTGGGAACAGGGGGTATGGGTATGGTATTGTATGTGCTTTAACTCACCCAGAATTATGTTCAGGAGTTTGGAACCCTTATATAACAATCCCATGACATGACTCCAGTTCTGGAACGTGTGGACTCAGCGCTCGGGTCTTTGTTTCTGCTTTTTCTACGCTTCATCTTGATGCGTTAGCTGCCAACTGCAAGGCGAGAGAACAATATTTCCAGGTTACCTTCTGCTCATTGCGTAGTTTTTAGTAAATCAATACACCCAAAGCTTTCAAATTG